AGATAAGGGACGACCATCTATGACTTCTACATGTACTGGTTTAGGTTTCTGTACAAAGGGTATTTTACGACTTTTAATGAATTGTTCATCTAAAAAACATGCTGAGGCTCCCAAATCTAATAAAGCAGAGGCTTTGTAATTCTTAGGTCCTAAATATAAGTCTATTATAAAACAAGGAGAGGGTTCTGAGGAGAGGATAGGACCTTCATTAGGAATTGTACAAGGTTCCAGCTACACGGTCCCTATTGTAGCTGGACGAATCCGTTTTCCAACATGTTGTCTTCTTTGACCGTCGTACCCCTCATTTTATAGTTGCGTCGTTTCTTTGGACAATGTTGAGCAGTGTGCTTAGGTTCTCTGCAATATAAACATAATCCTTCTTGACGACGACGAATCTTTTCTTGCTCAGTTAGAGGTTTAAAACGTACCGCGTCAATTTGCATGTCTTCTACTTCCGAATGTACGTTTGGCAAAGATGTTGATGTTGCCATTGAGTAATAACGTTGAGGTTCCCGTGAATGATTCTCAGATCGAAATTCAAAAAGTCGATTATCACATTTTACCGCAAAATCGATTGCTTGACTCAAAGTTTGAGGATCAGGTAAGTTGAGCTTTAATTTCTTTACTTCGTATTGCAATCCATAAAGAAATTGACTGATGAGTGCAGCATCATCCCACTTGATGTCAATTGCAAGTTGTCGAAATTGTGAAGCATATACTGTTACTGAGCGATTTCTTTGTCGCAGAATTCGGATCTTATTTCTTGCAACACGAGTTGCATCGTGTTCACCATACATAGATCGAAACTCCGCCAAAAAAGCTTCCAAATTGTCCAATATTGGATTTCGTTGTTCAAGAAAAGACAAAAACTATGATAATGCAGAACCAGAAAGTAGAGTGCCAATAAACCTGACTTGTGATCTTGGAGTTGGATAGCTTTGCGGTTGAAGTTCAATTGCCAATTGTACTTGATTGATGAACCCTCGAAACTTTGATCTCGTACCATCAAATTTCTCAGGTAAGGCAATTCTTGGTTCTCTAGTGCTTATAGGGTGTTGTACAATTGGAGAAGGAACGTGATTTGTTGTAGATGTTGAAGCAGCTCCGATCATCTCTATATCTCCACTTTCTGCTATTTTTGTTCTTTCATGTGTTGGTGAATTGAGTTGATGCATCGCAAGCATTAACTCCCTCATTTGTTCTTGCATTTGTGTCATTGCACTCTTCATTTCAACAAGCTCTGCCATAATGACACTAAGAAGAAAAATTTGTTTGATATTGCTCAAGACAAAAGAAAAGAAAGACTTGATAACAAAGAAGATACTAAGAACAATATCAGTTTAGAAGTGGGTAATCCGCAAACTTCTAATACGCTTATGTCTTGTCAAGAGAAAGGGATAATCCACTCTTACTCAAGAAAAAACAAAGCTCTGATATTGTAAGTGTTCTCTTGTCAATCTGTCAAGGACAAAGACTCGATGAGGGAAAATATACACCAAAAGGCTATCTCGATATAATAAGTCAAAATATAAACAAGTAGGTATATTAAAAGGAAACTGGAATGGCTATTGCCACAAGACAAGAAACTAAAGACTCTTGAACCTAGACTAGAAGCAAGAAAGGAGTTGACAAGAGTGAAGAAGCCTTCACTCTTGTTTCTATATATACTATCTAACTAGGGGCTACGTGGCGACGTTCTATAGGACCTCCAATATGTGTTGACTTTGTAGGACACATGCCTTGACTTACAAGGCAAGTTTTTCTACGTGTGGGTCACATAGTTAGCTTGATCTTCAAGCTAACAACATGTGTGGCACATGGCCAACTTGTTGACCACGTTTCTAATCCAAAAAGTCAATTAAAGACACCTATGAAGTCAAAGCAGCGTCTAAGAAGTTTCTAGGAAGCTTCTATATTAAATATTATAGAATTAATTTACTTTTATCTACTTTTACTTACTTCTACCTATTTCTATATGTAATTATTAGCTTACATGATTATGGCCGTGACATTTGACTTATTTATGCCTCTACAAAGTAAATAGAAGCACCTTCTACAGAAGACAACATTAAGACTAAATATGTTTTTCTACATCTTTCTTTATATTAGGCTCTTATGTAATAACATCCATTTTATTTTTATTTTTCACCATATAGTCTAGTTACTACATGACATCATTGCCTTCTATTTTGGTAGATCTTTTGTTGCTTAGTGGACTTCTACTATAATGACTAATGTTGTGAGGTCTCAGTTTTATTTGCTCATGATGCGGATTGGAATATTTCCTCAAGCATCTATTGCAATTGTGTTGGTTGTCTTCAACCATGGGGTTGTTTGTATAGAGTGTTTTGTAGAATTGGTGTGCATGGGTTGAATTTTTTTGCTTAGGCTTGAAAATTAGGCTTTCGCTTGAAGTTTAGGCTTGAAATTGTTTAGGGTTGAAATTTTTGCTTGAAGCAGTGGCCAGTTGAAGAAGCAGAGATCCCACCAGTCGACCTGGATCGCCTTCTCACCAACGTCGATCTCTTTGAATTGCTCATGATGGAGTTGCCTGTTCTTCCTTTTGCCGTTTCTTACCAATCGAGTTGCTTACTCGACGGACCTGTTCGAGTACTGTTGCAAATTTCTCACCCTGGGTTCACTGAAGAAGACGCGCTCGTCGTGGAACTCCGAACTCGGTGAGATTTATTAGACCGGAAGGGATCGATCCCAAAACGACCTGGTGGGTGGCCCTTGGGTTCTACGAAGTCTCGTTGAAGGAGGGACCCGTGGGACAGGAATCTGCCGGATCGGAACATGCCTTTCCCCGAAAGCTATAAATAGTGGAGTATGTGGTTATAAAAAAGGCAAGAGGGATATGGGGAGGAAGACGACAAGGGGAGTCCAGCTGGGAAGCGTCTTTTTTTTGGCGTCCTTGATTCACTCCTGCATGTGTTCCCACACCAACTCGGCTGTGAATAGCAGAATCACGGTGTCGCTCCATTATCCCCCTCATTCTCCCCATTCCCCTGGACCCCGTCTGAGCAGCTTCCTCGAAACACTCTGTCCACTTTGCCGTTAGGAGAACCTTCATCGAAATCGCAGTCTTCGTCTGTAACCTTCGCGGAAGGTTCTTTCCCCACGAAAGCAGAAATTATTTTTATCGACTTTTTCCAGCATAGGACTGTACCTTTTAAGAAATGTAGATTACGGAGTATATACTTCGGTACGATCAAATAAAGCCTTGTTTCGTTGCTTTGATTAACTTATTAAAAACTAATGTAATCGTTTTGGTATTTATTTGAATAAGTCTTGTATGTATGTATGTATGGAGAGTTTTTGAAGGAATAGTTGTTGGTATACACGGTCAATGATTTTGGGACTACGTAAGGAATTGAAATAAAAATAAATAAAAATCATTCTGATTAGTTTTTGTTGAATTTTTTTTTTTTTGACTTTCTCAAAATTTTGCGTTTGAATATTTCCCGTTGCTATTATTTATATCCATGTTCGGCCGTATAACAGCTGTATGTACACACGATTGGACTATTTTTCTAAATTTCATTGGTTGGCCTTAAATAAACTGTAGAAATAACTGGTTCATAGCATCCTTGTGTTTTTATGTTGTATGTCACTGGATCACTTAGACTATATTATGTCTGATGTGTGAGGTTAGTATGAAATCAAATCCACCATTTCCAAACAGACTGAATGAACACCTGGTTTTGGGGATCCAAGTTATCGTTATATCTCTCATTTAAACACTCAACAAATTTTAAACAAGATTCCAACATGCTAAATATGGTTATTTGTGTCGACACTCACGCGCACACGCACACACACTCTCGTTTATAATCCACTAACTATGAATAGTTTTAAAAAATCGCATTCTTGTTATAGTAGACGAAACGAAACTATTGTAGTGACATTCAGTTATTCTGGTTTGTGTTGCACAAAATTCATATATATCACTCTGATGTGCTATTGCAGTTATTTATTTATTTTACAGTAATAAAAAATTCAAATATCATCTCACAAAAAATTGCAACAAAATAAAAGAGAAAAGTAATAATCTCAAATAACAATAACAAACTAACGATCTTCTTGAAAAGTTGCAATCATTTTGATGCATCTATATAACCACCAGTGTCGTTTCTGAAACATTGGAACTATGAATAAGTGTAAAAGATATGAATACACAACTTTAGACTGTTGCAAAGAGATGTTCCGAAAAAGTAAAATAAAAAGTGTGTATTCACCAAACACAATTACATTCCCGTTCAATCCCCCCTTCCCCTAAAAATTGCACAACAATAGCGTTAAGGTAAAGAAATGAAAATGCAGGCAGTCTGGAAAGTTAAAATGTATTTTTTATGTAGAAACTCCATGGCCAGTTTCAAACATTAGAACGACGAAGAGAAAAAAAAATATCCAGCTGTGACGCACCTCCGATTAATTTTGAACGGGTGGATGAAGAGATGAATGATTACCGCGGCGAGATCTGAACCAGTCATCTCAAGCAAATCACTTGGCGAGAAATTCTCGGACTTTCGTCAATTCACTTCACAATCTTAAACCAAAGTTAATGCAGGAAGAGGCAATTGCAACGAAACTCCCCTTCTTGGGAACGAGCTTTTCGTTCCCATAAATTGAGATTAGTGTTCCCTGATTTTTGGGCGTTCTCAAGGATTTTCGCGATGTGGGAAGCAGCGCGGCAGCTTCTCGGATCGATGAGTAGACCTGCTGGGATCTGGAACTCTCGCCAGCCATGAGAATCCATTCAGTCGTGACCCCACATCCACCGCCTCTGGAAATGAGCTCCTGTTGAAGATGATGTGGTGGGGAAATCTCGGAGTAGGATGATTCCCTGGTGTTCAAGTGCCACGGTGTCCGTCACTTGTACGGGGAGTCGTGTGGGGCGTGCCGCTACGAAGTTGCAGCGAAAGCGCGAGGGCCTATTCTGCTTGAGCAGAGCTCGACGATCCTGTAGCCATGGTGAGCTCCCAGAGGAGAGGCAGTGTTGTTTTCCTTCTGTCGCTTTACCAGACAAGCAGCGAAACGGCTACGGATGCGTACGTAAATTTAGCCCCGCCTGTCCGCGCTTATCCCCGTTAAGTAGAGCAGGAGGTTGCAGGCTTCGGATATTGTGTGATTGAGTGCATCCGGCTTGTGAAGAGCTTTCACGAGAGGTTTGTTGTCGTCCTTGTGCAGGACCTGAATCGCCGAGAGGCTTACTTCTCCATCGAAGTGCTTGATGCGGGTACGCGTCGGCGCTGTTTCTTGTGTTTCTCAGGTGACCATTCGGCATGAGGGAGAAATTTTGCTGTTCTTGACGCTGGAGGTAGCGGGGTAGTGGAATCGGAGATTGACCATCACGTTGTTCATGTTTAATTCGAGATTGTCTTCTGCGATCACTCTTGCTTAGAGTGCTTCACAGTTCTGTGCCTCCAAGACTAGCAAGATGAAGGTCCCTTTCTTCTCCAAGAGCAAGAAGTCACAGCTTGAGGCGCAAGGCGCTCCACCCTCCCCTCGTCAGGGCCCTGTCAATGTAGAGTCGATGTCTTCGTTGTCGTCGACGTCATCGGGGTCTATGTCGTTTGCCACTACTTCCCCGGCCTCTTCAATGGAGAAGAAGCACAAGAAGTCGTCTTCATTCTCTGGACCACTAGACAAACTGCGGAAGTCGTCGTCGTTTTCTGGTCTTTCTATGCCCACTAGGCAGAGTTCTGGGAAGTTGTTCAGTTTTAAATCAATGCGCCAGAGAAGTGGTCCGCAAACTCCCGTGGAGCATTGTAAAGAGCTGACAGAGGTTTTTAAATACTTCGACAAGAACGGCGATGGGAAGATATCTGCGACTGAGCTTGGTCAGGTGTTGAGAGTGCTTGGTATTAGCTCTACTGACGAAGAGCTGGCGGCGATGGTGCGTGAGGTGGACTGCGATAGCGACGGCTTTATCGACTTGGATGAGTTTGCGAAGCTTAACAAAATGACTCAGGAGGCAACATGTGATGAAGAGAGCGCCCACAAAACAATGGAAGCTGCTTTCGACGTCTTTGACCTTAACAAGGATGGTTTCATTTCTGCCACAGAACTGTACAGAGTTCTTTCCGAATTGGGTGAAGTCCTCACTGAGGAGGATTGCCGAACGATGATAAACAATGTCGACAAAAATGGTGACGAGCTTGTGGATTTCTCCGAGTTTAAGAATCTCATGCAGCAGGACACCCGTGTTTACTGAGACGTGAAACTGTCCGTAGCTGCTGCTGTACACGAATGATCTTGGTTGACATGCATTTCAGGAATACCTCCTTCGTCAGGAAAGTTTATGTTTTGTTTGACGTCTTTGGCTAGCCTGTTTTTTCTTTGTGCAAGCTTGAGTGTGAGGCTGTATTTAAGTAAGGTGTACCCCGGACAAGGATCTGTCTCTTAGCCTCAGTGGAGACCTCTGTAATATAATTTTTTTCTGCTTCCAATGAATCTATTGGATCGCAAGAATCATCATATTGAGCATGTTGAGATCATGAAACTTGTAGCAGACTTGGAAAGGATTGCTACATCTCAGCGGAGCATTTTGGCGTGAGAACTAGTTGTTGGTCACCTGAAATAAACTGTGGTCCGATAATGTTAACTTCACACTATTGTTTGTCGTCTGAAAGACTACCGTTGGAATTGAAACGTCTTCTCCTCTTAATTCGTGTGCCATTATGAGAAACATGTGTAATTCCGGCACAGATGTTCGTCCTGACCACAAGTTGTTTTCCATACCACAAATTTAACACATCGTATAATATCATCTAATGATCCTGCCTGGGTTCAGTGAAAATTCCAACCGACATCGGTGAGGAACAGTAGACTGCTGAGATATTCGTACAATGGCTCGGTCGTACCTTAATTGGAAGAAGTTGCGAATGTGCTGTTGTGTAAGCAAAATGAAGGATGATTGTATCACTTCCTCATTTCAGGGTTAATTTTATTACTGTTTATATCTGATGAGGACTTCCTCAAGCAATGCGCCGGTCATTAGTAAACACTGAGCGAGTGCTACTATCCTTCTTCCCGAAAGATTTTCGCACAATGTTCTTCTTGACACAATACTCATCATTACCTGTGGAAAATACATGCTAGATCGATTATTCTCCATCCTACTATTATCATCTTTCCCTGCCTATCGATGGTGCCTGACTTGTAATTGCGAGACTCGAGTCAATATTAGCACGTAGACTCTTTGCATAGTCGAGTTCTTGATACCATTTGATTTGTCCATTAATTTTATGTTGTGTTTAAAAACTATTGTATGATTAGTTCTCGAATTCTGATTCACACAGAAAAATCTTGTCTAAGCCAGGCTTTCATACTTCAAATCCGGTTTGGCGGCGTATTTGGTCAGCATTAATAGTCATCCATTCTACTAGTCGCACAACATAGCCGTCATTGTTCCATGCATACAGACTAGTAGATGTAATATTAAGATGATACATATATAGTATCACACACTTGGTACTTTTGCTCATAAGTCACGTTGGATAGGGATATTCTAGTATTTCGTGCGCTTTGCAGAAGAACAGATATGTCTCCACGTCTCAATGACATGGTCATGAAGCCACCATGCTTATCAAGTACCTCAGCTTGTCAGCAATTCCGGCAGTGTGCAAGTTTGCCCTGCATTCCAACTTGATTTTCGGATATTGTAGTTGATTACAGTTGCTCAGCTGCTGCTTCTTCATCACGAAATTGTCACTAGCTGTGTCCTCACCATAGGATTCTTAATGTTATAATAAGCATCTTCATTTTTGACGAAGGAATATACGTTTGTTCTTATTTGCAGCATTTTTCAACCATCTTCCTCAGACTTCATTCAGCATACAACTTGAACCTGACAGATTTCTGTCACCATTTTAAGAAATTGCGAAATCACAATGCACAACTTTTCGTGCAGAAGGTTTACCCGTCGTTCGCTGATTGGTTGAACAGTTTTCCTTATGATTGACAACCTTGCACTGGTTTCCGAAACGAATAAGAGGTATTGCCAGTTAGTTTCTATAAAGATTAACTCCAGCGAATGAGATCAAGGCAGTGCCTATCATTAGAAATTGTGAGAACCTAAAAATCAGACTCATCTACATTTCTGGTGGACTCCGCACAAGGATATAAACATAAGAAGCAGAATCTTGGTAAAGCTTTCTTTCGATATTCACTTGTCACTGTTGTTCAAGATTACGATTACCATAGGTCGTTCTGTCTGAGAATTTATGGAGCAAAGCAATTCCCATCTCTTTCCGAACCAGTACAAGCTCATAAGGTCCTGCTTGATTGCTGATGTAGTGGTAGTGAGATACATTGATACAACGGCACTATGATCACAACAGCATTCCCACCAAATGAAAGGATCACATTTGGAACTCGTTGTACATGTCTCCTACTCTCTGGCCTGTTCTTGAGAACGCAAGAGTGTGTGATCTTTGTACTACAAGTCCATTAACCTAGCCTGCCGAGGAATTGCTACAGCACGAAAATCTGTTAAAATCTTCTAGAGTATACTCCAGCGGAAGTCTCGCACGACTGGCACAATGAATATGTTCAACTAATCACCTATGAAACTAATACAAAATATGTTCACTGCAGCAATGCTGTGGGGATCAAACCATTTCGCATTCAAGGAAAAAGATTCTACGTTGATGCAAACTCGTCCTCTCTGCGATTTGGTTACAGCAAACGCTACTCATCTCCTCGTCTGCAATGTACATGAAGTAACTGTTTCTTTTACAGGATAATCAGAAACCCTCGCGATGATGTGAGAATGGAATCTCTATATTGTGCTTAACATTTAGGAGCCACGCTCCTGGTCGCGAGTGTCGTGTCGCCGAGACCGCGACATGCTCCCGAAGTCTCTAGCAGCGGCAGCCCTGTCAGCGGCTCTTTGAGCAAGTGATTTCGTCCGTGCTGTCCGCGTCTTTTCGTCTAGAGTGTCCCTGTTAGGCTCTAACATTCGAAGGAATTCTGGCGAATCCGGAAAATTGAAATTCTCCACGCTTAGATCATCTTTCCACAAATACACGCCCACATCAAACGCCCTCGCTGCTTCCTCCGGAGTGCCGAAGCTTCCAAGCCATATTTTCTTCTTCCTTTGCTTTGTGTACAAGCCCACCGTTGGCCTGATCTCCGATACCCACCGTTTTGTCTTCTCCAGTTGACGGACACCCTTGAAGCGTGGAGGGGGTTTAGGCCTCTCCTCGATTTCATCAAACATAATCAGGTTTACCTCACCAGGGAGACCGACCGAGATGAGGTTTTCAAAATGCTTGATCCGGGCCTCCCGAATTGCCCACTTGAAATTCGACCACGCATTTGTGAAGCCGCCCAGCCCCTTCCACTTGGACCCTTTTTTCTTCTTCTCCTTGTTCATCTCTACGTCCTCCACCTTCGCTTCCCCCATTGCGTCCCAATACCTCTACGCTCAAATTCTACAATCCCTGAGACTAATCTGGAACACAAGAACACTTCACCACCACTCAAAGCGAAGGCAAAAACAAACAAGGCTAACACACTACACACAGGACCTCTGACCACCAGGTGAGCTCCACAAGCTAGAATTAAACGACGGCGGCCGCTGAAATCCTCACAGAAGCAGCCGGCTTTGGAAATCCTATGCGCAAATCATGACCAGATAGATAAGGCTGGTGCTAACCTTTTCGGTTGGCGGGAATCGCTCTCACGTCATGCATCAGTCCCGTCATACCGAACTAAGACAGAAATCCAAGCGCATTCAAGCGAAACACATTGCCCACGTGATCGTCTTGACGATTCTTCACATACCTACCACATCCCCTGAAAGGTCGGACTGCGGACATACGCATCGGCGGTATCTCCAAATCGGCAGCAGCTCTAGAGAGCGATGAGCTCATGCAAACTGGTCCCAGAGAACCGACATGCGAGCTTCCCATTCACAGCCGAACCATCCCTCCCTTGCCACCCTCCTGACTGCTTCTCTCCCCTCCTTCCTTCCCTGCATGTCCTCAAAAGCTACAAGCGGAATAGTCAGCGCTGCAGCGGCGATGATGGGAAGCGAATAGGTGCAGGGCCGAGAAAGGTTCACGGAGAGCACGACCTAGGATTGCCGAGGAGGAGGAGTAATGAGGATTGTCTCGTTTCTACGAATTACTGTGGGGATTATTTGTATTGTCCGAAATAGGATGACGAGCCTGAGCCGCAAATTTCACGAGAGTCCCGTGAGTCCCCACCAGTTGTTATTCTTCCACTTTGTCCGCACCAGTTGATCCAAACAAGGCAACATCCACCTAATTTCAAAATTTGCATTTTCATGTGCAAGGGGGTGAAGCACTTTATGACCCTTTTTAGGAGGTCAAAAAAAGGACCATTCTAGAAAATTCATAAGTGATTATATGTAGGAGGTCATACCAATTTATTTATGGATTGCTCCATTCCCCTTTTCTACTCCCCAAAATTGATGAAGAATGAGCTACCGGCCCCATTATTTAAACTGATGATAAATCAAAAAATTAGAGGAGGATTTTGTATTTTGGTTACACTTCTCTCTACCAATCAAGTATGCAAGGAGGGTCTCCTTCCATGATCAATGGATAGACAATGTTATTCTTAGACTTTGCTTGCACTTGATGATCCTTGCAAGACAAAGTCTATCCAATTTTAATATTTGCAATTTCTATGTGTGCAAGTAAGTGAAGCACTTTCTCACTTAGAATTTATTTGTACAATATTCATGAAGAGAATTTTTTTTACCCTCTTCATTTGTATAATTTATATATTATAATATTTTTATATTTTATGTCATGTATTCTTTGAGCTTGAAGTTGTTAAATATGATTTTTCTTAATTATCATGAATGAAGTTTTTAAATTTTCATCAACATGAAACTTTTGCAAAAATCATCTAATCTTTAAGTGTGATACCATTTCAAAAATGACACTTAACAATGAAAAGCATAATCATAATGAGGTTTTGTTTCAATTAAGGATGAAAAAACATTTGGCAAGTCCAAAAATCAATTTAAAACATGAAGTTCAAACTTCAAATAATGTTAGGCTATCTCAAACTTTATTTGTTAAAGCACATTGTTTTGAATTGATACAAATATCTTACAATTGCCATTTACAATTATTTACTATTCCTTTGGGATACATTTCTTATTACTTATTATCTATATTTCAATTCTTGGTATCTCCAAAGAATACTAGACTCATCAATGAGATAACTTTTGTCAATGACAATGTTATAAAGTAAACAACATGTCAATATCAAACTAAGAATTCTTTTCAAATCAAGATTTGTAATAAGATTTATTAAAAGCTTGTATATTCTTTTCAAAATTCCAAATGAATGCTCAACAATCATATATATATATATATATATATATATATATATATTAATGAATGCTTAAAGTTAAATATATTATATAATCTAAGAAGTTAGATTCCAAGCCAAAGTATATGCAAGTTTTTATGACTAATTATCAAGGACATGAATTCCAAAGAAAGATAATCTCAATACACTCTTGTATCACTCGAAAATACTTAGAAATCACTCAAAGGTGATATATATTGAACTAGGATGGCTATTGCTAAAGACTAGAAAATATGACGACTCTTGAAACTAGATTGAAAATAAGAAAGGAGTTGATAAGAGTGAAGAAGGCTTCACTCTTGTCTCTATATATACTATCTAACAAAGGGCTATATGGCAACGTTCTATAGGACCTCCAATATGTGTTGACTTTGTAAGACACTTGCTTTGACTTACAAGGCAAGTTTTTCTACGTGTGGGCCACATAGTTAGCTTGGTCTTCAAACTAACAACATATGTGGCACATGGCCAACTTGTTGACCACGTTTCTAATCCAAAAAGTCAATTAAAGACACTTATGAAGTCAAAGTAGCATCTAAGAAGCTTCCATATCAAATATTATAGAATTAACTTACTTTTATTTACTTTTACTTACTTCTACTTATTTATATATGTAATTACTAGCTTACATGAGTATATTTGTGATATTAATATATCTTGCATTGATTGTAGTCAACTTTAATATTAACATCTTTAATTTCTATTATTGTACCATTTAATCTTTCCTCTATAATTACATCTTTTAAGTGATTTGATAGTAGAAGTATACAAGAATCATATATTAATGTAGGGATATCCACAAAAACATCTATGAAATGACCTTTGTGATCTATAATGGCTTCAACAATTATAAAATAGTTATCATTGCAATTGTATTAATTTGTTGATTTAAATTTTGCAAGTAGATCAAATTAGACATAAGAAGAATCAAGAGCGCCACAACATTGTGGTATGCCATTAATATTTTAAAATCAAAGTTTTATTTTAAAATCAAAGTTAGTAAAAAAATTAGTCTTAATACTGTCTTTTATAAAAAGAAATACTAATTACTTTGTAAAAGCATGAATGACCCAAATCAAAGTAAATGAGATAACAAATTAATATAGGCATATTTAGAAGAAAATTAATAATAGGTTAAAATAAAAATTATATCAAATTATTAAAATTTGATATCCAAAGAGGACCAATTGTCAATCTAAATTGAAATCAAATCTTGAGGCACAAAATTATACATCTATAGTGTTTCTAAGATTCTTTTGTAAATTAAAGAATATAATTTGAGACTAAACTTGAGGAGAGATTTTTGAGCATTGATTTCATATCATTTAGATCAATATTGAGGGTTTGAGGAATTTTCAAAGTTAGTAATATTTTTAGTGGATTTAGATTATGAGAAATAAAAATATGTTTACAAATTTGAAGGTGTCTTCAGTTCTGTAGTAAGTATATGGATGAAATTTGTGCAAGTTGTTTTTGTGCTTAATATTGTTGTGTGTGCAAAATTTAAGGTCAATCAAGCAATTAAATTAAAATTTATGATGATTTTGTGGATTATAGTCTCAAAAATTTGAGATTTAGGATTAGTGAGTGATTTTAAGATCTAATAATATATGCTAATTGGATTGAAGAAAAATTTGGAGAGCTCACTTAAGACTTAAATATCTACACAAAATCCAATTTTTAGAGCAGTTGAACAATTTACCATAAAGAAATTGGTATTGAAAGATCAATATTTGAGTTGGAGAAGGATGACTGCCAATGACTAAGAGGTTTTAGGAGCTTTTCTTGTAATTAGTAGTTTGATTCTTTTTAAACTTTGTATATTTTTTAATTACTTATTGATTGAAGTTTAGATAAAATTTTAGTCAAAATCTATAGTTCAATTAATATTTATTAAAGTTTCAAATAATTATAAAAATTGATTGAAATTTACTTGGAATTTGCTTGGAATTGTTTAAGGTCTCGAATTTTATTAGGATTTGGTCTAGAGCTATGGTTTAGAACTTTTTTAGGATTTAGGAATTATTTAGGATTTAGAATTATATTAGAGTTTTATTAGGGATTAATCTAGGATTTAATTAAGATTCATTAAATTTTTAATTAAATTTTTAATTAGGATTTGACTTTAAATTTAGTTAAGATTTATGAGAATTTAGATTAGAATTAAACTAAAAATTATTATAATTTATTTTTTATTTATTTAAAATTTCTATTTTTAACATCTAAAAATAAAATTTTATTATTTTTTATAGAATTTCTATTTATAAAATTTCATGAAGATTATTATTATTTTATTAAGGTTTTATTTTTATATATTTTTTATATATTTTTTTATTATATTTCTTTGAGATTAAATTATGACTTCTTTATATTTCTTTTATGATTTTTTAAAAAATTAATTTTAATTGATTAAGGTTTGATTGAGATTATTAATAATTACTTGAAGTTAATTTAGAATTCTATTAGATTTAGTAGAGTTATTGTTGCATTTCTACTTACCTTCCACATCTAGGTGCTTGGTGCATTTTCAAGCAAGAATACACATAATATGACAATGCAATAGTCACTTATTCAAATATATTCATCAATTGCTTTGTGATATTAATTAATTTAAGAAAAATATTCTTCTTTAATTTATTATGTACTAAACTATAAACAAATATAAAATTTATAGTAAAATATTTAAAATTATTTCTAATAGTAAATTATGCGTGGCTTAATATAATAAAGATTAGAGTAGAAGTAATTAAAAATAATTAAAAATAGATTTATTTCATAATATTTTTTAGAGATACTTTTTAGAAGCTTCATAGATATTGCTTTGACTTTACATGTATTTGTAGTTGATTGATAGATTGAAAAATTTGTCACCAAGTTAATCACGTATTAGTAACTTGTGAAATAAGCTAATAATATAGCATACATATAGAAAACTTCCCTTATAAGTGAAGATACGTATCTTGTAAAGTCAACATGTTTTGGAGGTCCTATAGAACATGGCTATATAGCTCTTAGTTAAGAATATATATGGAAGCAAGAGTAAAGCCTTTTTTATTCTTGTTAATACTTTTCTAGTCTTAAGAATTTTTAAGTCTTTTTGTCTTTGGCATTAGCCATTCAAGTTTGATACTATACCATTTTTGAGTGATTTTCTAGACTTTTTGAGTAACACAAGAATGTATTAATATTTTAATTTTTTGATATTGATGTCTTTGATAATTTGACAAGAATACTAACTTATTGTTCTTGTCTTGTTTTAGAAGTAAGTAGATTATTTTACTTCTATTGCTATATTTTGAAGGTTATGAATTATCTAGCTTTAAATAAACTATTTAATTTTCTAATATCACTTTTTTTCTTTTAAAAAAGTAAATTATTCCTTTTTTTAGAAATTTTCATTTGATATTAGAGGTTGTGGATTATCTTCGTCTAATTTGATATGTGGATATGTTAAGTTGTTTGAAATGAAAGAAAAAAATCATAGATGCTATACTTGGTAGAAACAAGAATAGATTTGTAATTATTGTAGATTTTAATGAATTTTTCAACACTCTTAGATTAAAAATTTCACACATGACCATTACCAATCATGGAAATACAAATCCTATGGATGTAAAAAAAAGTTTAGAATCTATGGCAAGAAGTTGTGCAATTCAAAGAAGCAAGGAGATGAACTTCACAAAAAAATCAATAATTTTTTTTCTTCTATAAGTACAACAAGGATATGGATTAATATGCCTAATAATTTTAATGGAACAAGATAAAA